GACATTTACCGTGATGCGGCCACGGTTGTGCTCACAAAGGACGGCTTAACGGCGCCCGTGCCCCAGACGACGGGTGTGTTCCAGGGGTGCCCGCTGAGCCCGCTCCTCTTCATCGCGGGCCTGGCGCCGCTCATGGATGCGCTGGCGGCCGTCCGGGACACCGCCGGGGCCACGCTCGCTCCTGGCCTGCGCCAAACGGGCACAGCGTTCGCCGATGACATCAAGATCTTCAGCGACTCGCGCGACGGCATTCGCTCACTGCACCAGCTGGTCTGCGACTTCCTGCGGTGGTCACGGATGGAAGCCAACCCGGCCAAGTGCGCGTTCTTGGGGTTTGAGCATGTCGGCAGCCGCTGCTGCCCCACGCCCGACGTCGAACTGCGCCTTGGCGATCAAGCCATCCCTCACCTTGGCTCGTTCGACGACGGCTACAAATACCTGGGCATCAAGGAAGCTTTCGACGATGTGACCGTTCGCTTCCAGCTGACCGACATGTTCCACGACCTCAAGTGCAAGATCACCCAGCTTTGCAAGTCTGGCCTGGCGCCGTGGCAGATCATTCGCGCGATCAAGTCCCACATCTATTCGCGCCTGGAGTACCCTTTACGTCACGTGCACGCGATGAAGTCGCAACTCGACGGGGTGACGCGACATCTCTGGACGGCTCTCCGCTCGCTCCTCAAGCTGCCCGTCTCGACCACGACGAGCTTCTTCTCTGCGCCCACGGACTGTGGCGGCCTTGGCCTCCTGCCCATCGAAGAGCAGCGGGATGCCATCATGCTTGCGCACTTGTATCAGATGCTCCACTCGCCCGACGATGACATTCGCAAGATGGCCCGCCACGCGATCCTGGCCGGCGCCCGGGCGGACTTCCATCTCCCTACGGTCTCCGACCTCGACGGCGACACGGCTGACGATCTCCTCCAGTCCTTCCTCAACGACGAGCTTCCGACCAAATTAGGCGTCACGGCCAAGTCGCGCGTTGGGGCCAAGTCGCCGATCGCAACCACGTTCCGGCTGCTCCTCAAGAAGTACGAGCTCAAGTTGACGTGCGAGCTGGGCAAAAACCTCCAGCTCAAGCTTGACGGCGCGGTCGCCACGACCGAGGATGTCAGTCGCCGGGTCAAGCGTGCGCTTCAGCTCAAGCACTATGAGCGATGGGGCTCATGCAGCGACCAGGGACGCACTCTCGGCCAACACGGGGACATGGGGTCCAAGTTCTTGACGTCGGGCGGTGGCTTATACGACAAGCAGTACCGTTTCGCCATCGCAGCGCGCCTCAACCAGGTGGACACGCGGTCGGTACTCAAGCGCCGCCAACTGCGCGCCTCGGCAGTGTGTCGCCATTGCATTGACAGTGGCCGCCCGGAAACACTCGCGCACGTGCTCCAACACTGCCCCCACAACCATGGTCTCATCACGCGCCGCCACGACGCGTCGCTCGACAAGATTGCCGCCGCGATACGTAAGGCCCTACCTGCCGCGACGGTCAAGGTGAATGAGCTGGTGGACGGCTACAGCCCGCGCGCGCTACGACCCGACCTACAAGTATTCTTTGATGTTGGCGCGCGCCGCGTTGCTGTACTCTTGGACCTCGCGATCACGCTCGAGCACGCCGTCGACGGGACGGTCACCGGTTGCCCATTCGAACGCATCGCGCGCAAGAAGGAAGACAAGTACTCCGAGCTCGGGCCGCATCTGCGCCAGACGTACGACGAAGTTTACTGCACAGCCTTGGTGTACGGTGCCCTTGGATCCATCTACACGAAGAACGAGATTGCCCTTTCGCATCTGCTCGGACTGCACAAGCCGGTCATTCAAGGCCTCGAGCGCCGGCTGT